AAAAGGCGATCATGGAAAGTCATCTCCACCTCTCCTGATAGGTGCAAAAGATAGTGCTTGCAGTGAAACTTGTGTTTTCCACTATGTTTCTGCATAGACTTTCGAAAAACTCCATTTTTAATCGGATTTTCAATATTGCGGTCCACTACGAAAACCGTACATTCGTCAGGTCGCAGTTTTTCCGAATTTCCGTCCTTCAGTCGAAATGCTAAAAACAAATCTTTTTCATTTTTCCACATATCACCTTCTTTGTTGTTTGTATATAGAGCATAGGTCTCGTTTGGTGAACCTTGGAGACAAACGTTTACGTGATTTGTGTTATTACCACACAATGAACTCGTGGTAAGACGAGACAAAATCAGTCACCAAATGAATGAGGTTACAACGGGGCGAAGTAAACTAAGAGCGATCTCAAAACAATATGCTGGGAGGGGTAGAAAGCACTGACAGCGAGGAAAAACGTAAACAATTCTTACTAGGTGGTGATTGAAGGAGGGGACTCAGTGAATTGCGAGACTCAGGAGCATAATTCAGGGTCAGTAATGAAAATCTGATGCAGTTAAACCGTGCAAGGGTTTGCAAGTCAAATGAGGCGGGTGAGTGACCGGGAATTATATCTCTATAACGGTGCCATGCATGTGAGTGACAAGCTACATCAGTTCAATGTTTAACCTTTTGTGTTATTTTTAGTGACACATGGAAACGATGTGTTCTTATTCGCTGGACCATCTGTTCACCACGGGCTTACGAAACTTCAAAAAATGCGTTCCAGACAGCTACACTCTGCTGTAGTTCAAGGCTCAGCTGGCAACACCAGACTATGTGCACCGTAATTTACTCAAATTTGAACTCACATCTGGGATTACATCGACCTTAGGATGTTACTGAGCCTGTGAAATGTGGCCCAGGAGTCGGCATCCAGCTGACAATCACACTTAGTCTGCTCCAAATCTGTTAAAAAGGTATGAGACTTCCTGACTCTATCAAACAGATTTCAGCTCACAATTGGGGTGATTTGCCACGTTGTTTGGGCCAATTGCTTGATTTGGACGATACCCGTAACAGGGAGACCGAAACTCACATTGTGCTTCGGAAGCAGTTCACTCTTGGTTGCCATAAAATTCAATTACGTACTATGGAGGTAAAAAGCCTTGTGCTTCAGGTAGGCGTTCGCCCTTTCGGGAGGAGGAGAGCTTGACACAACGATAAGAAATCTAAGTGGGAATATTTCTACATTAGATCATAATGTAGCCAATTGAAAACAGTTCATTTGTCGAAGAGTTTTCAGCAACCTTGGGAATGGCTTCCTTTATGGAAAAAATATTGTTATTTTTATACTAATCGGTTTAACAATCTCGTGTTTCCTGGAACACGAATTATGTGAGAATCGTTCACTGCTGACCAGACTCAGACCCCAGTACGATGTTGATTCATTAAAGCTATTTTCCTCTCGCCGGAGGAGGCCAGACATTTAAGTTTGTCGATCGCAACATAGTCCTATAACAGAGCTCAACCTAGAAGATGAAGATCTATGCAAGTATTGGGAACACGTGGACAGTCTGGTGAATCACTACAGTTAATGACACGCCGAACACGCTAAAGAACCTAATTTGAGCCATGTCACTTCAAGAATTACTTTGTACACTACAAGCGGCAGTACAGGTAAAACCAATTGCACTAGAATGTTATTTGAGCAAAAAAGGTGTGTAGACCGAGGTGAGTACTGTAAAACTGTTGAGGCCGATTTCATTATGGGTGACATGCAGCCTCTATCAAAATAAACGTACCCACAACCCAACTTTGCTGACTAACATGCATAATTAGTCCGGCCATACGTGCTTCTGCTGTTCAATCACGGGACACATTTCACTTAGTCATGAGTGGTAGGATGAGCAGCGCGAGTTACGCACACTGCCAATCAGCCGCTTGTTGCCCAACGGTGAAACATTCAGGCTACCGGACAGAATGTAGCGGGTTGGATACGAAAAATTCGTCAGCAATATCTCAAGTAGGCTGACTGCGGTGAAATCAGTCACATCAAACATTTGATGAAATTAGTGTTTGCCAAACCAATACAAACTGGTGTAATAGTAGGATGTACTTATACGCTTCTCGCCAGAGCTTGTCATCTGATTTGATATATTGGCTTTTTTCCTACTTAGCTAGGCCCAAATAAATACCAAGACCGACAACGGCTTTGTGGTTAAAAGTACGCAACAAAGTGCGCAACAACGTGGAAAAACTGAGAACCGGAGAAGTAATTAGTTATCACCTATTGCTTCATTGTACTGTGTAGCTTCCATGGCACCAAGACAAATAACTCGTGTACCGCATGTTCGAAAGTGCATATTTTTCAATTTTTACGAGATAAGTCAAGCCTCGTCCATGAGATATAGGGATGAGACTGTATGATGTAGGGAGTGCTTGAAACGTCCAATGTCTGCGTGAGACATCCAATGGCCAATGACAAAGATTTTTGCCATTGTGCCATTTCATTCTGGGGGATAAATTCAATTCTACAATCAATCCCACTAGTGTCACGTGTTCCTTAAGGTTTATCTATGCAAGCCTACAATAATCGAAATCCGACAGTTCAGTTCTTCTCAATATGATTTGCACCCTCTTTCAACAGTCGCAATGTAGTACAATATCCTCGTTTTGAATATCCACCAGCTGAACGTTTTCCTCGACTGCAGAGTTTGTTCTTGGAGATATATTCAATAATAAAACAACATTCCAGCATTTCCAACCGTTTAGGAGACATTCAATTGTATGCTTCTCGTGCTTCTCCGAGAATCCTATCACACTTCAGTTTGTACGATCATTTTGGCAGATTCCCAGTTACTCTACCATTCTTCCTTGAGATTTAGTTGATATTTTGAGCGGGTAATATCACGACATGCTTCACCGGCCAAAATGTGTTGGGCTACGTCCAGTTTGCACTGAGTATCAGTAGTGTTCTAGGGTAGCGAGATGTGTGTTATATGACACCTGCCTTGCCAGGATAACTACGTTACTGTGCTCGAGACATCTTATACACTTTATTCCTTGCACGGTCTGGTAGTTGAAGCCATACGGATCCTAAAAAACAAACAGAAAAATGAGTCCAATGTCCATCAGTTGCTTCACATTTATCGCCCATTTTCGGTGATTTATCAGGTTACAATTGTGTATCACTCTACCCGCGGACTGATCCGATAGTATCGAAACGTTGTGCAAGTTGCTGGACCATCTAGGTCACCTTACTGTAACAGCAATCATGAGGATTAGGTGTGCAAAAAGTCATGATTATCACTAATCGGTTTGGTAGGTCATCAGACACCGTTTGCCGCACGTCAAGCCAAAGTAAATGTCACAATAGTATCGCAACATCGTGTTGCTTCATTGTTTATCTCCAATACCAAATAACGATGCCGAAATGGCAGCCGTTTTCCACTCAACCGATTCTTCAGGGAACAAAATAACAAGATTCTCTGTATCACAAAGGATACATCAATCATACAGGCTAACAAGATGTACTATCATTTGGACGACAGTCAAAACACACGTTCTAATGTGCATCATCTAATGGCCAGATTAGCAGTTTACTCAACAGCGATACCACTACCATTGTGATGTATCCTCCTTGTAATGGAGTATTTCGGAAACTACGAGATGGCTGCTCTAAAGTCCCGATGGAAACTCTTTCTTTGAAGAGGATATATTATGTCGTCGGAACTATTCCCCCCTTCAAGTTACAGTAAGTCATGTTCAGTATTCCGCTGCTTTGTGAGCAAAATACTAATCTCTTTAGTGGGCGTCACGGACGGTACAAAATCACAACGGTCATGTGAGTGTGACCAAGCTACTTGGGCAAACAGTGTAGATGTTCAATTGGTGTGGGACGCAGCCTGATGGACCTGAATGACCAGGCTCGAAAGTTTACCACTCAAATTTGATTGAACAATCATCTAAGCGAGCATATACAATCAACAGGCATGATGGTAAAAACGATGATCGTTCTAGTCACAAGAGAAAAGCAGGATTATGTTTTCTGATCAGGTGAGGTCTATGGCCTTTTTCGCCGAAGCTGAAGTTTGTTCTGCACAGTCATTCCATGAAGCAGTAGTCCCCTATGTCACTAGTACTAGCGCATGTTGTTTACTTGTAGGCTGAACATACGGGGGTGATTTGTTCTGCATACTGTAGTCTGTGGAAGCCACATCGAAGCACAGATGGTGCTAAGAGCGCTCTCACTGCAAACTAGCTGACTCCGTGTTGCAACATGAAGGGAACGCCAGTCCATGTTACGCCGTGTAGTGTACACCCAGTGCATTTTGTCTCTTCAAATTCGTTACTGTCTTTATGATGGGCCTTACATCTATGTGAGTAAAGCTTCTTTAGTATAGAATACTGAGTGAGAGGATAACACTGTTCTTTTTTCCAGAAAGAAGAGCAGATTCTGCTAGAGGCCTTTTGAAACTTTGGAACGTGAAATTTCACCTGTCGGGAATAACATGAATCTGCACAACAGACCATCTGTGGGGATGGATATTAAGGCCATCCACTTTGGGACTATTGAATGACCCTACATGAGAGTTCTTGTTTACAGCTTTTTTCCGTCTCTTCCGATTGTTGAATTTGGCATCAAGGATACGGAAAAGATGTTTTTAGTACTTGCGTACTGTCATACCATCACTACGGTTCAAAAAACTGTATAAAACTCAGCTTTTATCAAGGTTGCGGTCGCCATCTAACTCACCGAAGGATACCACCTAGTGAAAACTGTGGTTCAGTCGCACACTCCGACTATGGAGAATTATTAGCGAACCTAAAGCTCTGCAAGACGAACAACAGTAGTCAGCCATTAACAACTTCCCGAATTTCGGAAGTTTTGTTTGCATAGCTTAGCAAGACTAGCAAATGGCATTTCCTCTGTTGGACAGCTATCGTCGATGTTCGGAGACGCTTTGACAGTGCATCAAGCTGCAAGCTGCACCAGCTGCAACTATTTCTGTTAGGAAGGTCAGATTCCTGAAGGTAGTCCCAGAATGCCCGGAACTTACTCAGAACCTCAAACTCCACCAAAATCTCAATAGGAAAGCCGGCAAATATCTAGGCAAATCGATCGATCAATTCACCAAAAGCCGACGAGTATTCAGGTTTGCTACGACCGAGACGATGAGTATTAACCAAACGCCGATTAGACAGCCTGGTTTCAATGTCAAAATTGCCATTTAACTAGCTCCAGGCACCTTGTAACTCTTGCACTCGCCTGTTTGCACTAAAGTTGTTGTGTTCTCTGTTGTCAAATATCTTTCTGACACTGGAGTAGCACTAGAGCGTAGACAACAGCCAAGAATGGCAATTTTCACCATTTTCCCACGAATCCTTCTTGAAAGAGTATTTTGTTTAAGCATTTCAACCTACGACAACATTTTCACACAAGAGCAGTATCCATTCTTGCTGAAGGGAGGTAAACACAGAAGGAACCGGTGTTCGGAACGAGGAGGATGATGATCAATTGCTTGTCAATGCAGACAAAATTGGTTCATGTCGAAATGGTGTTCATTAGGAAGCTGTCGTGGTTTTTGTGGTTTCTGAGGATAATCAGAAACCGTGGTGTCCTTGAGGGATATTTCGACACAACCAAATTTTTGGTCTATATGAGACAAAAACGGTACTTCCTACCTGCGCAACTTCTTAGTGGCGATAGAAACTCAGCATACAAATATCCCTCCAAAACGACATCACGGAAAGATGAGACCCTTTCAGATGGCTCCCCTCTCTAAGGTTTTCTCAACAAACCTTGGCTCAATAAGGATGATTCTGTGACTCTCGCAGGGGGGCTGTGGATATGCTTCTCAGATGTTTTGTACAGTTAGTACGAGTTTTTGTTCTTCAGCTCATTTGCCAGAGCTAGAAGGACGAAAAGGGTGAAGGAGCAAGATCGAACGAGAGGTGACACCCTCGCAGCACATTTAGGTACCGCTGGTCTTCTACATGCATGAAGGCAGGGAATTTATAGAGACAGGGTATTTTTCCGGTCTCTAATGGTGGCGGATATGTTATCTAACCGGTTATCTTACCTCCTGAATACTTGGAAAAACGTTCTTTGGAAAAAAATCATTCAGCACACATCAGCAAGTCAGCAGTATCAAAACTTTCCAAATAGACCTCTGGAGAAAAAGTTTGGTGCCTCCCAATAGGGTGGACTCTCTTCGGGTTACAAACTCTGAACAGACATGAGCGGATTACGTCCTTACAAAGTTAAAAGTCGTGAAAGCATGTTTTTTGTTCCAAACTTTATGTAAGAGTTTGATGATATCTGATAACCCACCTCGCTAAACACGTTCACATGGCAGCGGCATCTCGGGAGTCTTATGCTATATTTTGCTATGCAGTTGGATTCGCCTGCCAAATGAAACACTGTAGCTTTCTGCGGTCTAAATTGTGGGTTTCCTAGGGAGTGCGGGGAGGAGCGAAGTTATACACAAGCCTATAAACTATCCTTTGGATGGCGTTACCCGGGGAACAATGTGTTGACCAGGCATATTGTACATTGAATAAGCATTGTCACTCACGTATTACGTGGATGGTGAGCTCATGTTCTTTTCGGGAGCATCTGATTTGTAACGGTATCAGTGGAAGCTTATCAGGGTCATTCAGTATGAGGGTGTTCGTTTCTACGGTTATTAGTTCCATGTCAGTAAAGCATTCAACACTGTGAAATACCAAGAGTTTCATTTCACGGTCCATATTCCGAATCCATTTTGGATGCACGGCAATTCGTTCGACACAGAGATCATAGGTGGGATCTGGATTTTTCAAATCAATTAGTACTGGAGCCGCAGCGCAATCCAAAATACGCGTTTTGTTTCCGACCAGGAGAATGGTTGTCGTTTTCACTTTCCGTCCCACGTAACACTCGACTGTATAGAGTCCATGTATCATCGTTTGCATCCGAATAGGGACTTTTTGAGGACCATAATTCCTCACGGTAAAATCATCCAAAGTTGTGGTCAGGTTACATCCGGAAATTCCGTGTTCTTGCCTATGGCAGGGCAACCCTTCGCAGATCAGTAGCTGATCGTTATTCGTGATCAATTTCCCTGGATTTGCATGCAATACAGCGTCTATGGAAAAACAGGATAGTAAAATACGGGCCGCTAGCCATATTCGTTGAAACATCCCCGATTGCCTATTTGTGTTCATCGATTATACCGCCATAAAATCGATACTTTCATCGAATGCTTAGTGGCTTTCCAAAATAAACGCCAGCGAACGCGTACTACAAGTAAGCGACCGCAATTATAAAGAACTTGCATGAGCATGGATTGAAGCGCTTTTGATAACGTGGAAAGTAGGCAATAATCTTAGACGTGAATATTCATGAGGGAGCTTAGAAGCAGGCTCAGCTGGTGTAGTCCATGCACTTCGAAGGTTTCCTCACCCTCCACATTCTCAGATATCTATCTGCCGAAGTTGACTGTTCATCATTGGCCTCGGTTTGAATTCTCTGTCAAACTTGTGCTGCAACCATATACGTGTGCACGAAGTGGTGGATACTGATTGTAAAGTTTGAAGATGAGGGATACAGCAACCAAACGAGTCAGACAAGTAGTGGATAAGGTTTGCTCTGCAAACCCATGTTCGCTATAGGGTATCAAATGTTGCCATGTAGGAAAGGCGTTTTCAGCTACTGATGAGGTCTACCTCCTGACAGTAAACCAGGTAGATTGCATTTTCTTGTCTAGTCAAGTCTTCTGTTCAAGTTTCTCTTAGCCTGAAGTCAGTGACACCTCTTCCTCCTTCCGGCTGCTCCCTAGAAGTCAGAAACTCATCGCTTTCAAGACATCTTATCGTAAAATTTTGTCTACTGAATGATGCTGACCATTACCAATTTTGTCAGAATAGGTCAATGCTCCGGATATACCGATGATCAAAAGCAAAAAGTTGTAAATATTTTGCGCACAATAACTCCTTTTAGACTGTTTGAATTCACCTGAACCTTATGAGACTGGATGTGTGCTTTTATCATTTTCCAGAAGATTGTGCGTGATATGTTTTGCAAAGATGTTTTACGTAACCTTAGTCATACCACCCCTACGACTTTATTTTTAGAGCCATTTATACATTGAAAGTTGAAACATTAAACTATCACGCAATGCTATATCGGTTTACAGAATCTATATCTTTCTCATTTTGTTCACATGCCAGTGGAAATTGCGTCTCTTCCAGTCAGCTTAAGGGGACAACTTATGTTAAGTCGCCTGTCTGCAAAAAGCTTTTCTTAAGTCGACTTAAACTCAGGTCAGGGAGCAGCAAACAATGCTCGGTACATGAGTCGTTCACGGGTAGCCTAGAGATGGTCAGCCTCAGCGGATCGGTTATTCTGGAATGAATCCCATCCACGGTCACATTCGCGTCTGATCAATCGCTCGTGGCCGAACGGTTGATCGTAGTAACGAGTTCAACGCCGAAGATGAAAACCAAGCAGTTGAACTGACTTTCTGTTTTCGATGACCAGGCCAAATCACTGACCAGACCAAGATACTGGCAATGTTTATTGACCGAACATCAGGAGCAGGTTTTCTACTGTCCCACTGAGATAGTAGTTGCTTGGAGTTTAGGGAGAAATGAATATAATATACTTATCATGCTTTGCGGTGTCTGCGTTTTTTAGAATGCGGACGTTTTAGGGAATCATCTTGGTTGGCCAATCGTATTTTGAGCAGATCACCGTATCGCCCATACCACAAAAGAAACCTAGAGATCAACGTACAAAGTAGGAAATGAATTCCGAAATACTGTTTTCAATACCGTCGAATGGTGCAACTCGCAAAGGATATTGCCGCCGACGTGCGCTGAATAACCCATTCAGAGCTATTCACCGGAAATCGCCCCTCCAATATCTCGCGTGATCAAATTGATTCCGTTGGTATAGTTTGTCCGCTGACTGTTGACGCTTAGTCTAAATCATTTGAAGTATTATTCATCTTATGGTGCGGGAAGCACGCATTATCACTAGCCATCAGATGTAGAAGTGGAACTTTTTGCGGTTTTCTATTGATTACATTGTTCTACTGCATGATTTCGGCAATTGTCTGTCGTGTTGACTTAATGCCAAACGTCGAGTTCGAATCCTTAGCAAAATATAGACTGATGTCCATATGGAATTTTTGTCCCAATCAAATTTGGGTTTCCTGATTGTCATACCACCTCCCTGTATAGATCACTTACGTAAGATAATTTCCATGACACAGTTGCCCTGTTACCAAGCGCATTCCCAGTTCACACACCAGCTTTTCAAGACAATCGTCTTGGAAAGGGGGGACACTTTGCGGTGAAGTTGCAACAGAGTTGCAAATGACTGGGCCATTTTAATACACCAGTTTTAAACAAGGTGTTAAGCATCCGTACCACTTTCTTGACTTACGTGCTTTGTCTGCGAGAACAAGTAAAGTATGCCGCACACCATTAACACCAAAATTACAGCCACGCTCAAGAAGGCAATCGGAAGGACTGTCGTACGTTGTTCTATTGGCTTCGGCGGTTTTGTTTTACAAAACCAATGCCTTTGGAAATCCACCTTAACCGCAGCCACTTCACTGACTCCCATAGCTTTTGACCTCGATTTTGCATGCAACGGGGCACCGCTTATTTACGCAAGAATTGATTCTCCACGTGTATTTACGTGGAGATACAATTTAGATCGCGTCATATATACCGTCCAGGACAAGCAGTGAGACAACTGTTTTTCTAATTGCCGCTCTCGTGAAGATGTGTGTTATGGTTTTTTAATATTCTGTAGAAATCAGAAGGGTAAATAGTATAACAGACTGTCCTGGAATCCCATTTAATCGGCATAGGCTCTTTCAATGCATGATTCGTTCCTTGAATTGGTACGTTTGACTGTTACTTCAGTATTCTGTTAAATAGCATCCGAACCGTCCGCAGAGAACTCGTAACTTTGAATATTATTTTTTGTACTTCGTGAGTGCGGTCGTCAAATCGATTCACAAGTATCTGCTACTTGTCTTTAACTCCAGCTTTCTTAGAGTGTAGCGCATAAAGCTTGCAGACAGAGCAGCGGTTCCACTCGAGCTCAGAGCGCAGCTGAGCTGAGGAGCCAAACTGTTAGTCACATCCCCGGAACTTGAAGCCACAAGACAATCAAACATGTTAAAATTTGCTTTCATTAGGGAGATTGCTTATCCTCAAAAATACATTTCTATTATCAGCATGAACACGAGCAGTGTAAGGAAGACGTGGTCCCAGAAGGGGCTACGTTACGGTGGTAGACTGAGTATTACTTCCGGTAACCGCCAGTGTAATATGCAAAACTGAATGACACTTTTAGGAAAATTGGAAAAGCAGTCGCCAAATTTAGTGCTAGACACCTTTTTACTTTTGACGCAAAGGCTTCGTCCTGAGATGTAGATCAGATCTGCAAGTACTTTTTCTATATGAATACAGAAAAGGCCCATTCATGAACGAGAAACGAGGCCAAACGTCGGTGATATGGTTCAGAAAACCGGTTTTGGTATGTAAGTAGTTGTTAAGGCTTCTGGCCCTTTGCAGTACAGTTGCGGACTATTCTTATCCTCCCAAAATTTTGACACTGAAAAACAAGACGACTCAAGTCGACGCACAAACAGCCGAGAAAACCTGCTAACAATCAGCTTCCATTTGCCCTCTTTTGGGAATCGTACTTACATGCGTTCTGCCATTCGGTCTCCCAATTAGTGGAACCATTGTCCTATTACAAGCAATTTATATGGTGGATACTTTCACCGCAGCTTCGCAACCAGCAAAGAATAATGGTGACCACCTTACCTAACTCTACCAGCCTAGATGTACTGGCAATCTTAAAGACACAAGTTAGAAAATGGGCGACACAGAAAGCCAACTTCAGATCAGTTTACAAGGCTCCAAAGATTATGCCAACTTTGGCTTGCAGTCGGATTTTACTGTTTCGACTGCAGCAGAATGTCGAGTCCTCAAGATTTGCATCATTAGCTCATTTTTGTTTCGTTTGCCACTTTCTCATCAATTGTTATTTGAGAAAATATAACTTTAAAGCTTCTTTCAAAAATCTATCCTTCAGCCAAAAAGCAGATTTATAAATCTGCGCAAAAACGAGGCGATCAACTTACAAGTGAAAGAAAGAAGGCCTTCACTGCGGAGCTATTTATTGCAAAACACCAACTGAATATTTACAGCATATTGGACAGGGAAGCAAAACTCTCGTATGCATCTTGCTTGAAATACTGTGTACTTGTCTTCTTCTTGAACGCGTGTTCCTAAACTTTCCTAGATACTCAGTGACTATCATTCAAAGGTAAACTAATGCTACGAAGCGATTCCACGAATTCCGTAATAAATCTCACCTTTCAACAGACACCAAGCGGATTAATGAGAAAACAACATACTACTTGCTTGCTTCGTAAATAGTATCCGCCGTTACACTAGTTTGATAGTTTGCAACATTTTTTGGTAGAAACTGCAAGATCTTTTGCCGTGTGGCTAAAGTAGCCACCAAGCATTCTGATGCGTCAGAAAATGCATTTTTTCGCAATGCATTTCATTCAATAATTAAACAAAACTCGCGTTTACGTAATCTTGGTAAAGGAGTTGGAAACGCACTTCTCATGCGGCTGTTGAGAACACTTCGATAGCCAGTGCTCGGCTTCGTACCTTTCGGGGGTTATCAAGTAGCTGCGGTTCTTGGGTTAATGTAAACTTTATGTTTCTCTAACACACTAAATTTTAAGCAAATCGAGAAATAGACTCATTCGCAATTTAAAGTGGTGTCAACAACAGAATCAGCTGAATCCCAGCCTTATATGTTGTTCATTATTTTCTTCAAATTAGATTCAGTTGGGCTTTGCACCGACCTAAATTCTGAACGACTGGAAGCCGCCACTTATTATGATTTGGTGCGGAATTCAAGCTCAAGTTTGAGGGAAAACCGGTGACAGTGATTACCAAATGAGATAAGGAAGGGCGAAACTGGCACCAAGCTCTCAAATATCCTTTATGGACATAATGCGTGGTATGTTTCGTCAAGACAATATGTCGCGATATCGGCAATATCGTAACAGCAGTATCATGCGCTTTGTGCCTCACATTCGGCCGAAAAAAAAATCAAAAACGATAGATTCAGCTGGGATTTACTTAAATCTCCTATAAACGCCAATCAAATCCGAAAGTGAGTGTGTTTCACCACTAACTTGGTAAGCGCTTCTTGCAAACGAGAATTCCTTAAGTGTTGATGTATCATTCCGAAGCTATTATTCCAGATGGTCTATATTTCACGAGCAATTTGTACGCTACTTACGCCATATAAGTAGCCTAATAAATGAATGAAATCACCTAGATGGCTGCTGGTAGACGTTGCAACATTTTGCAGAGACTCTAGTCCTTGCGAGGGCACGAGGTGATGGGCTTAATTGGCACCAATATTTTTCAACCGACATTGTTCAAACGCCACATCCCTCGTCATTGTTTGGCTGGTAGCTTTGGTCGCCCTTTGGAGCTGGTCACCTGCGTACGTCAGGCGAATGAGAAGGACTTTTAGAAACCTTGGAAGTAGCATTGCGACGCATGCTTGTTTCTGCTCCGTGTGCACGCCTAAAAATGAATCATACTCTAAGCTTTGTCAATCACACGGTTCTTGATTGTGATCACTATGTATTTCGAAGGTTAGGCTTAAAAACTACTCAGGTTTTGTCTGTTTTAAATATTTGACTGCGGTAACGATTGTTGGCGGTGCCATTTTGTTTCAATATTACTCCGGGTTCACTTATCAATAAGTTTTAACTCAAAAAATTAAAAATTCAGTTCTTGTTGTGACGATATTTCAGGATAAACATGACGTATGAACTAGTCTTCTGTTTCACTCATACTCATAAACACCACGGCATACTTACATGGAAGCGTGTATAATATTAGTAAAGTTGTGAGACCACCAAAATTTTGTAGTCTCACAGAGCACATCAACCGGTTCACCATTACCCAGAAAAGGTAACCTTCTACTTGGGAACTGCCGCTCAGCATTTTACGACCAATAATTTACTGTAGATAGGTAAGATGATTAAAATTATATTTCTCCATAAAAACAAGTTATTTTATGATTTCTGCACATCAAAGTCAAACAAAACGATAACAGTGAGTTTTCTGGTCCGAGCTATTTAGTAATCCTGACCACTCTTTATCGCAAACACCGTCCTGATCAATTGGACACTGTAATATGCAGTCAGGCTGAACCCATCAGTTGCAAATACCAACACTGGAAACATCTTGGCTTACATGGAATAATTTATAGATTTCCTGATGGTTTGTCAGAATGACTAGTTCCAAGTGGCGGTTTGAAGGTTACAGCTTGGTGTAGATCCAAGCCTGGACGACAAAAACATGCCATATTGGTATGGAGTGAATGTAAAAAATGCGACATTCCATTGCAGGACAGAAGTCAGAGATCAGAAACCGGTGCATAAAAATTTCATCAGCTTGATCAATATGAACTTTTACTTTGCAACCAAAACATGGGCAGCGTATGTCAATTATGATTTCACGCTGCTCTTGTTATGCAAAGAAAAAAGAGAGGACAAAATAAAGAAGACAGGAAAGAGAAGATACACGGTGTATAGTCTAACATGTATTTTCGTAGTACTCAAATTGTCCCAATATAGAGGCTCTGCTGCTCGGTTGGTCAGATTTGAACCTATTTAGACAATCATGTATTCCGATATAGTGTTCATTTGTCGAGGTTTTGAACGTACAAAATCAGTGATGCACTAGTCCTTGCCATCTCACTGCATTAAGGAATCAGCTACTGTTAAGTTGCTGCTTGCTGTTGGATCTTTGTGCCCTCCAGGGTCTGGTCCAGGTGAATTTCTTTGAGCATGGTTTATAACCTTACTACACGTAGGCGCTCCCTGCATGACGTCAAGTTCTGAAGGCTCGAGTAGGCAGCGCTTGTATTTTGGGTTCTTGTTCCTTGGGGTTAGCAAAAGTCCCTCAAGGAATTCTGCTCTATTAGTTTCGGTAGGATTAGATATCTTGAAATTGACAGTTTTTTTAGGGAACACAATTAATTTTACCACCAAGTTCCATACCCTACTTTCTGTTCTCTTGCATGAATGAGGTATGCTTTGTGGCTCGGTTGTGCAACAGTTAAACATCAGTTGCTACCACTGCTTTATTGCTGTCCATTATAATGGTGATGCTGATTAGCAGGCAAGCCGATAGGACGACAATGTGGTGTGTTGCTGATTGATGAATTCTGTGGGAGACTGAGTGGCGGGTGAATAAACCAAAAGAGTGGTCCAAGACTATCGTTCATGACTGATTAGTGTGAATATTTTGCGAGTATAATGTCTTTGATAACTGAATGCTGAATTAGACGTTAACAGATTTGAAAGTGGGATTGCTCACCAAATTTGCCTGAGTTGAGAATGTCACGAAATTGCCACTCGTGGCACTGACAAAACTAGCCATATCCTAAACTTTTGTGCACACTAGGAACGTATGGGCAGCGTTAGCTAAACAGCAAAAGATGTTTGCACGCAACTTGTCTGACCGGATCAATAATCTGGTACGGGTTAGATTCTCGTAGGCAGCATCGGGCGGCTTGGATGAGCCATCCAGGCCATCTGGACAACAAGATGGCCAATGACATCGATTAGCAGCACTATCTTTCAGCGTCTCCAACTAGGCGCAGTGGGAATCACGCGGTCCCCATCCTGGAAGGGGAGTAGCGCTGAAACCACCCAAAATATTTTGTATTATCCTTCATGTCCCTCTGCCAGGTCAAAGGATAATCACCTCTCTGCTTCTGCAACTCTGAATTTCGCAATGATGGTTCGGCACACACAGCCTCCGGTAATGGACAGGTTCTTTATTGGAAACCAAATCTCACTTTCTAATCGCCTGATTACGAATTCTTCAACACTAACCTACACGAGTTATGAACTTGAGACAAACATTTCCGTACACCTAAAGATGTTTCAGTTTCAGAACAGGGCAAGTCTTACAGCCATACAACAAGCCATCCCGTCCTATAGCCTGATATACACGTCCCTTTAGATTCAAAGAGGAACCGCTTCGTCCCCATAGGTGTCTTAAATTAACCTTGCAGATTCGTGCATTGACATCATTTGTCACACTACCATTGGAACTCATAATACTTCCAATGCGCGTAAACCGCTCCATCACTTCGAGTGCCTCCCTCTAGCTGAAAATAAGTTGTTTCTAGGTTAATTTCATGTTTGTTTCAAGGTTAGCATAGTTTGAGTTTTCACTGTTTTCCATCTTTGCCAAATAACCCGTTGTGTGGCAATTTAGGTTTGTTGGTTTCAGGCCACTGGAAAATACCAACGCCCGGCGCGCTGCTGATTTCAAGCACAGGAACGTCTGAAGCCATCGTGAAATTTGTTATTTTATTTCGGTCTTATCTTCATTAGTTCTGGCAATATCAGTTTGAACGACTTCAGTAGGTGACACAAACACACAAACTTTGAGGGCTTTTACGAAAGAAACTTCGGAAATTAAGCACGTTATTGCAGAATTACAGAAGTCAAGCAAATCCACCATGAGCGGAGTGTTCATAATCTTATAGCATGCCAAGACCAAAACCGTTAAAGTCAGCTCACAATTGTTGGTGGATAAGAGAGAAGTTTTTTCGAAAATTAGTATAAAGCGGGACTGACAAATTTCTGACTGAGCTACTTGTCATCATTGCTCTTAGCGTATAGTTCACCATTGTTCCATTGTTCGCAACATCCCAAGACAGGCTCCCTTCCACAGTGATTTTACGATAGCGATAGTAAAAAGCGTTCTGATGTTTGAGATTGTTTTTCTCTTTTTAAAAAGCGGTAATTTTGGTCTTCAGTTGTCCGAATTGGGAGTGAGGATAACAGGTCAGTACCGATTAAAACGGATTCATTTTCGGATAAAATGCAATCAAGCAAAGCTTTAAACAGCTAGTGATATATTTACATTTTGACCAAGAAAGTGGTATTCGGTAAATTTGCGTAGGAAATCTGAGTGTAAATGGTTATGCTTGGGAGATTCTCTTTCTCGGGTTGAAGCCGAATAAGAATGTTTTTAGCTGCATGTCAATAACGGTTTGGCAGTATGATCAGCATTTTCCCTGCACGGAATAAATTTTTTTAGCCTTCCTTCGTCAACCGTCAAAAGAATGGATCAAGGTAGTGATGGGCGAATCACTCAAAAATCTCTCATCATTGCGCTGAACAGAGTTCAAGCATTATCTTGGAAAATGAATGTAACTTTCAGCAAAAACACTACTGTTGATCAAAATCCTACCCCTGATCAAAAACACAGCTTGACAGCAAGAAAAAGACTTTTACTTGGATTGAACAATCAGGAATCACTTGGCTACGTCATCGTGGTCGTTTCGACAGAACCCTTCCTGACCGGGCCAGATCAACATCAAGACCTATACTTGTTACCCTATCCCTAATGTTTGATCGCAGTCAGTTTGCCTAGAACACAAAGAGATCATTCCATAGGAGCAGAACCAAGATTTAATGGAAATTCTCATCTAAAGACAGATTTTCTTCCAGATGATATAGAAAATCAGGATAAACAGTCCATCAAATCGATTTGCAAAAAGCTTTTTAGACCCGTTTTTTAGGAGACGAACAAACT